ATAATGATAATAATGATAATAATGATAATGATAATGATAATGATAATGATAATGATAATAATGATAATGATAATAATGATAATAATAATAATGATGATAATAATGATAATGCTAATAAAAAAAACAGAAATAAAAATAAAATACTCAATAAGCTAAACAAAGAATTCTCAAAGAACACCGTTCCCCGGCAACGGCGCCAAAAATACTTGTTGAATTATTGGCAAGCGTACCAAAATTATCAATTGCAGTATAGTATTTCGATAAAATAAAAGTCGATCCCACGAGGAACAGTTTCAATGGAAATTCCTAATTATGCTTACTAAGTAGATTAAAACAGATTATGTTTTGCAAATAAGAGTTGAATTGAAATTAAATGACAAGGACTTGTAAATTGTTGAGAAAATATCAATTAAAGGTACTTAGGATTGACTTCCTTCCTTATCCCTCTTTTGTAATGGCTAAATCAATTAAGAACGTCAATTAACCTAACAATGTTGATGCCACCTACTCAAATCATCCATGTTGATTCCTCACACATGAAATTCATAAGAAAACCTAATAAATGTTGATTCCTCACACAATTAACAGATTTTCCAGCATTAGGGTTAGGGTGTTAAGCAATTGATACATTCATTCCATTCCTGGCAATTAACGTAACAAATATTCTTATCGTGATCTAGGGTTCAAGATATATTTTCCAATCATACCTCAAACAATCAAGAATAAATCATTCCAAAGCATAAAGGATAAGAATAACAACATCAAAGCATAGATTAATATATCAAAATATCACCATGATACAAAAGAGTTCAAAGGAAGTGCACTGAATCCTAAGAGAATGAAGTTAGCCACTCATGTTGGCCATTACAATGCTTCAATTGATGAAGAAGAATTGATGAAGATTAGACAAAACCCTAATAGTAGTCGTGCCTCCTCTCCTCCAAAACTGCTTGCTTTTCTCAAAACACAACTTATCTTTTTATAAGAGAATTTGGGTCGGGCCTCGCATCATTTATTCGCTTAAGCGCTCTTCTTTCTTTCAATTTTACTCCAATTATGTTGACAATTATGCTCCTTACTCTTGTATCAAGGTATTCTCGAATTCATCCTATATTGGGAGAAAAATATATTAGAATTAACATAAGTTAAGTGGTTTCATAACAATTCAAGGCATAATTATATCAACTTTTTACCACTTAACAACTATGAGGCATCAAATCATGGAATATGACTGAGAAATTTTGTCACAGGGCTACAAATTGTGAAAGACATTGAAAGACCACTTAAGTTATATTGTGACAATAAATCAGCTGTATTTTTAAGGAAAGAGTACAAAGTGGACAAATTTCCATAGAACACTTAAGGACAAACTCCATGATAGCATATCCTTTAACTAAAGGACATCCGCCCAAGGTCTTTCATGAGCATGTTGCTCACATGGGTATTTTACAGTTTGAGGAATTTGTGGTTTAGTGTGAGTTAGTCACTTTCATATATTTTATGTTCTATGTTTAATTTCATATATGTATACATTGATTTTTGGACATATTTGGTTATCTATAGATATGCGGTTTTTTCGTTCATTCATTACACTTTGTACATTAAGGATATTATATCGATCTCGATAAGTTAAAGTTTGGACCAGTTGAAAATAGACGTGTACAGATCACCTTCACATAATTTTTCATGTTACACATTTCATGATGAATCCATGTCATTTGGTTATGTTAAGATAAGTAATCATTGTTGGTTTTAGTTGCGATGATGCAATGAAAAACTGGTTTGGTTCTATATCCTGATATGATTAATGGACAGGACTTTTGGAGTATGCTAAAGGAATATAATGGCAATTTTGAGCTCATAAAGTCTAACACATTTGTAAGGTTGTAAGGACATATATATTTGTGGCCAGTGGGAGATTGTTGGCAAATTTTGGGTAATGTATATATATGATACATAATTTAAATGTGTTAGGGCCATTATTTATTAAGCCAAATAATAAAGTGATCTGACTAAATTAAAAAGTTTGGCTAAAGGCATATGTCATGAAAATAAAATTGTGTAGAGACCATAGAGCAATTTCTAATTTGATGAGGGACCAAATTAGAAATACTAAAACTTAAGTAATTAACCTAATTCTGTTTATTTTAAAGGGTCATGGTCCCCTTCTGGGAGCACATAGACAGAACGTAAGTTTCATTCCTGTTCCTTTCTTTCTATCCCCATCAAGAGAGAAAATCAATAGGGAAATACATGTGTTCTTCAGGTGGAAGACCCTAAGATCAATATAGTGCTCTACAAATACATCATCATTATGGCTAATTCAGGTACGCTTTTGCATTCAATTTACAACATGTTTATCAGTATGAGATTACGTTTATGTTTGATCGTTAGAATCAAAATCAGTATTATTATTATTATTATTATTAATTTTCCAACACATTTGGCATCCATAGTGAGATTTAGTAAAATGATCCTTATGATCTCTTCCACTCTATGGTTTTAACCCACAGATAAATGATGTCCAACTCTAACGAGGACATAAACCTTACAACCATCATCCATAGCCTAAAAAAATATGGACGAGTGTCAATAAAAGAATCAAGATGAGACAAAGAATATGTAAAAATATAATGACGCTAGATTATCATAAATCCAACAAAAAACAACTGAATAATTACAATTAATTCAAAGTCAACACGAAGTAGAACTTTAAACTCTACGAAGCAAAATAAAGACTTTTAGTTCAACAACTTTGGACGAATAGGTCACGCATAAACACAGAAGAAACCATTACATATAGTCAAGCACGAATCCAACCGTCGCTAGCACGAACCCACCAAAACTCGGACCAAACTAGAAGTCAACTTGTACTCATAAGAAAATTCACCTAACCCAAGTGATAAAACACCAAATCCAAGGAGTTAGAGTCACTCGAGGAAGAACGTCATTCCACGTACATATTAACAAACAACAATTCAACTCTATGAAAATGACAACGGTCACCCATTATATTTTTATCATTCTACTATTTTATTGTATTTTTAGTATTAGAAAAATTCAAATAAGAAGTTTGAATTTTATTTTATGAAATTAAATAAAATTAATTTGAATGGATGAAAAATTAAATTAATATTAAAAATAATGTTTAAAAAAATGCTAACAAATAAGTTTACATTTTCGATGTCCAAACATGGTAGTGGGAATGTCTTAATCCGTGTTGAATTAGATGGTTTTCAAAGCGAAAGGTTGTCTCTCCTGTACCCACTGAAGCGTGGTCTGAACACGCTGCCATGTAACAACAAATTTTTACTACCCCACACGGACACTCCACGTCATATTCTTTTTTATTTTCACTTTAGATTTTCTCAGACTCACCTTCACAATTCATATGCGTGTACTGAAAATTTTAAAATTGTCGTTAATCTTATAAAACAAGAAGGAATAATACAAACGTATTATTTAATATATATATTTTTTAGACACTTTTTTAACGCATTCCAATGAATTTTACTAAATAAATTATTAAAGATAAATTGGATATATTTCTCATGTAATTAATATCCAGAAAAAAAATATCATGTCATAAAAAAGGAAGAAAAATAAATATAAGAGAAGTGAATCTAGAAAATAAAATATTCTTAAATTTTAGTTCAGTTAAAGTCAATGGAAGCAGTCATCTGAAATAATTTGTTTCAATATATAAATTTAGTTTCAAGTAATTAATATTGCACAGTAAAATTTATTAATGAGGCAAATTAAGGGACACTATTTAAAAAATATATTTGTCTATGTAAGCAAGTTGTTTATATAAATTTATAAGATATTAATTACAAAGTTTATAAAATAAATTTTAATCAACCTTATAAATTTTACAAAACAATTTAAGAAATGAGATGAACTACAAAGTCATATATATATTTTTTTTACGTTAACTAATTTTTATTTACAAAGTTCAAACACAATATTCTTGTTTTAATATTGAGTTCCGGGGCAAACATTTTAGAAAAAAATATAATCAGTAAAATAAAATAAAATAAAAATTATTTTTATTAACGTCCAAATTAGTTAATTTTAGAAATGATGATAAGACTCGCTACTAGATATTAATTTTGTTAGGTTAAAGAGAAATTAATGCGAAATGTTAATTGAATGTAGAAACTAGGAAAAAAGAAATGAAGTGAGAAAAAGAGTGGGGATTAAAAATTAGATGTGGAGTGCAAACCAAGACAGCGAGAGAGGGCTTGGAAAGTAGTGAAGCATTGCTGCATTTGATTAACAGACAGATGTGACCGATATAATGATCCTCATGGCCGTCCAAGAATGGAAAAGAACAGAATCCAAGGGAAACTTTTAATCGAAACCAAAATCAAATTAAGAAAATGCCTTTTTTTCTTATGGTCCCAACTAAAAGCCAATTCGGTGAGCCACTATACTCAATTCTCAACATTAAATACTCCCAAATGGCTCCACTGGGACTATTAATTCACAACTAATTCCTTCAGCCAAAAAGTTCTATAATGGAATTGGTTCTCTTTCTGCTTATTTTAAACCTTGATCATCCATAGTTTAATAGGAGTTGTTAGTTCTTAAGTTGTTCATCACAACCAAGTCAAAATTGTGAAGACTGTACGACAAGTTCTTGGCAAAAACAAAAGCATTGAATCACGATAGCACCACTTCATACGTGTGTGTTCACTTGATGTTTGACAAAGTAAACCTTTCCCTTTCCACCCAGCTGCATTGCATGTCCATTTATGACTCACACCAACACCGACTCTTCCAATGAAAGTACCAAATCATCCCTCAACTGCACTTCTAGGAAGGCCAACTACAATTAACCGCTTCCACTGTTTTGAAACTGTCAGAGTACAAAACCAACTAGCTTAAGACAAAGAAGGACAAAAAAAAAATAAAAAATTGCAGCTATCAATGAATAGAAAAGGCAGAACAGCATATTTGTGCTCAGAATCCTCGTTTCCTCTACTTCTACTTGCCTTATGCCTTTGAATATGATGCTTCAATCGTGGCCTTTAATGACCCTTCTATTTGTTTTACTTCTGCACAGTTTCTCAATACCAACCTGTCATGGCCAAACCAGAAGTTCTCCTCCTCAGAACATTGAAACTTTCTATCCAAATGAAACTTCAGCAGTACAACAACCTGAGACATCACCACAGACACAACAACCACCAACACTACCAACTGGTAACACAGCACCTAGCCGCGGTTCTTCCAGTGGTAAGATGGCCAAGGCGGTGGCTGCAACTGCAGCCAGCACCATAGTTGTTTGTTGTTTAGTTTTCTTTTTGTTGCGAAGGTGCTTGAGGGCCAGAAAGAGAAAGGGAGAGGTGATAAGTAACCCTGTTTCTGGTGGAGATACCCGTGTTGTGCCTCAGGGAAATGTGTTTGAGAGAATTGATGGAAATGTGAAGGGGTTGATTGTGGACGAGGATGGTTTGGATGTGATTTATTGGAGAAAGCTTGAAGGAAAGAACAGTAACAAGGATCTACATAAAGAGGTTTTGAGTAGTCCCAGAAACAAAGAAAAAGAAGATGATCATGATGAAAATCAAGTGAAGAAGTCCAAGTCCATCCAAGAAGTTCCTCTGCTTAGAGGGAAATCGTCAACTTCCCACTTAAATGTATCACCAGAAGAGGATGTACCATACAGATTTTCACCAATTTCTTCTCCTCCTCCTGCTTCTGCTTCTGTTTCTGCTCCTACTCCTTCTAGTCTTCCATCATCAGTTGGGGTTATTATCAGGGGTGCTCAGAAACCAGACTCTCCAACTCAACCATCAACTCCACCCCCTCCAGTTTCACCGTCGACACCTTCATCCTCTAGTTCTATTTCAGCAGTGCCGAAGGCGGCTAATCTTGCGCCGGCACCTCCCCCTCCCCCAATCCCAGCGAGAAGAACTCCAGCACCTCCTCCTCCTCCAGCCTCATCAAAACCACCACCTGCTCCAATTGAAATGCCAGCTATTAAGCATAGAAACTCTTCAGGGAAAGGCATCCCAGAAACCAGCAATGACCAAGTGAAGCTGAAGCCTTTGCATTGGGATAAGGTGAATACTAATAATGCTGATCACTCCATGGTTTGGGACAAAGTTGATCGTGGCTCTTTCAGGTAAACCTCATGAGTTATATTTTGTTAAAAAAAATTTGTATATTTTGATCATTCCAGCTTAGATTTTACTGATCATCCAACACAATACTTCAGGGTTGATCATGATCTCATGGAAGCTCTCTTCGGTTATGTCGCGACCAACCGGAGATCTCCCAAAGGAAAAAGTCACTCAGCCATTCCAAGCAAGGATTCCTCAGCTTCGTCAGCAAAAATTTTCCTTCTTGACCCGAGAAAATCACAGAACATTGCTATTGTTCTCAAATCTCTTGCAGTCTCACAAGGTGAAATTGTTGACGCACTCACTGATGGTAAGGGCCTAAAACCAGATACTCTTGAAAAGCTTGCTAGAATTTCCCCAACAGAAGAAGAGCAATCTCTTATCCTTGAATACAAAGGAGACCCAGCAAGACTTGCAGCAGCTGAATATTTCCTTTATAATATCATCAAAGCTGTTCCCTCAGCTTTTAAGCGCTTGAATGCCATGCTATTCAGGTTGAATTATGACTCTGAGATTCAAGAAACCAAGGAATATCTGCAGACCATTGAACTGGGGTGTAAGGAGCTTAAAAGCAAAGGACTCTTTGTGAAGCTTCTTGAAGCAGTGCTCAAGGCAGGAAACCGAATGAATGCAGGAACTGCAAGGGGCAATGCACAAGCCTTCAACTTGTCTTCTCTAAGGAAACTCTCTGATGTTAAGAGCACCGATGGAAAAACCACATTACTTCACTTTGTGGTTGAAGAGGTAATCCGTTCTGAGGGAAAACGGGTTGCTCTTAACCGCAATGGCAGTAGCAGCAGTAACAGTAGTAGGAGCAGCAGCAGTAGCAATGGAAACTACGAGAACAATGCTGCTTCAAGTGAACTGATAGAAAGGGAATATATGACATTAGGATTACCAATCGTAGGAGGGATCAGTTCTGAGTTATCCAATGTTAAGAAAGCAGCACAAATAGATTTTAACAATTTAGTTGGTTCAATCTCTGCCCTCTCAACCCGGTTAGTCAAAGTTCAAGAACTGGTTTCCTTGTGTGAAAATAGTGAAGGAGGACATTTTTTAAAGGTAATGGATCATTTTCTTGGAAATGCCGAGGAAGAGCTGAAATTATTGAGGGAGAAGCAAACAAGTGTGTTGCAGCTTATCAAGAAAACAACACAGTATTATCAAGGAGGAGCTTCAAAAGAAACTGCAGAAGACAATCTTCAATTGTTTGTCATAGTGAAGGATTTCCTGGGAATGGTTGATCAAGCTTGCATTCAGATTGCACGTGACATGCAGAAGAGGAAGTTTCCTCCAAAGTCAATTTTTGTATAGTCGTCATCACTGGAATGGAACCTACAAATTATGTCTGTGATCGTCAAGCTGCCGGAACATACCACAACAGATAACTCCAAAATTTATTTAACTTGTGCTATTGGATGAAGGGGCTACAGACACTTAAACAAGAATTCTGAAAGATTGGAGTTTTGTTGTGTTATCATTCTACGTCTGAAGAGATTACGATGGACCAAAAAACAAAAACAAGCGTTCCTAACCATTGGATCTTCAGAAATATTGTGCAAACAGGCTATGATCTTTCAATTCATACGCTGAAACAGTCTTCATGGCTTAACATTTTCCAGTATTAAATGTCTAAATGTACTCGTCAACAGTTCTTGAGCAAATTTAAATTCTGGTGTATATCATGTTGGATCCTTTAGCATCAACTAGAACTTCGTTGTTGTATATATTTGGATTAATGGGATTTTATTTATATTTTTTCAGATAAGATTCAAAATATGACATATGTAAAAATTCATTGAATTAATAACTGTTATAGCATCAAGAGCGAATTAGTCTATAAATCATTAAGTTAAAAAAATACTGTGAAAAGAGGAAAAAAATATTCCAGAGTTGACTTGGCATCGATCAAATGTCACAAGAGAAAAAGTTTGGTGGAAAACAGAAAGTTGACCTCACGGGCCAACGGAATTCATGTCATAAGCAATGTTATTTTATTCGTCAAAAGACTGAATCAGATTGCTACCAACCTCTCACCAAATAAGATTTGCTCTTAACCACTCCTCTGCACGAAACAGTAAATTTGGGTTCACGATGTCCCCGAAATTCATAAAATAAATTCCAATGGACAACCATTTCAACAAGCTTCTATTTTTCTTCCTTCTTTGGATTAGGTGGTTTTCACTTCTAATTGACATGACAATTACACGTGCATTTAAAATGTTTTTAGATAATTTGCTCTATTAAATTTCTAGAAAAAAAATTATAATCTAGCAGTAATCTAAATATTAATCAAATTATAAAAACTCTAATATATTAACTTTTTCAAAAAAAAAATTCTCGCTTAGGCGTATTTAATTTTGGTTATTATCTTATAAGAACATAATTCATTTTTTTATCATAAAAGCATTTATAAAAAAATTATACAAAAATCTATTATCCCTAAATTACATTCAGCAATACTGCGCATATACAAAAACCCATTAGTCCACGCTGTAGGTTTAAGGATACCCAAAATCAATCAAGAACAAGACACCTGAAGCTTGACTCGGATGGGGACTACTGTGAAAAATTGTGTAATGCAACTGTGCAAGAGTAGAGTATTTCCCTATATCCCACCCAAATAAATACGAATATCCCATAGTTGGAAACAATGCAACCAATTTATAAGAAAATGCAGGCATTCTCATATTTGACATTATAGTTATACAACATTATTTCTCACAGGAAATTTATTACCAATGATTGATGTTTTACTCCTTCCTCCTCTTCTCATTGTTCATAAGCTCCTATAGTCCTATATAATTAGATAATTGTTCTCCTGTTGCAGACTAAACTAAGATATCATAACAGTGTGACTAGAGTTGTAGCCATAAACATTTCCTCCCAACACATGGATCTTCACGCCCAATAATATTTCAACCTCATTGTCTCTTGTTTCTTAGGCTACCTCCATTTTTCAATCTTAATGTCCCCCTGCATAAGTATACAAGACAAAATAGCAGTTAATATAGCATAGACTTTCCACGTAGAGGATGAAAAGATTTAACACGACATGGTTGGTCAACTACAATTTGAATTATGTCAAGGCTTCCTTTCCACTCTTTATGCTGTTTTATCCCCAATATATTTGTTTATAATTATTGATATAGCACTGTAATGATATTTTGAAGATCTCTTAATGATTTTAATTCCAGGGGTCCAGAAGGATCCTTTCCAAAATCTCCAAAGCTGCAGAGGTAGTACTATACTTCACACCTCACGTAATGGAACATAATAATAAATACAGTTTTAGAATGAAAATAATCTATAGTCTAAATGAGGAGATGAAATCAGAATGGAAAATAACTCCATGCCTCTTAGATTTTCTGTTAAATTTTAGATTTTTCATTGTAACAGTGGCATAATTTAATTTAATTGGCTGTCCCCACTTGACTTTAACAAAACATGATGGCATTATTGGACGATTTGATGGAAAGAAAAAACATATTGGAAAACAGTAATATTCTACAGGTGGGATAGTCCTTTAAATGATAACAAAATGTGGAATGTGGACCATATGAACTTCCATCATTATATCTCGAGTGACCCTCCACCAACTACTGAATCATTGGGCATAAAATAGGTTTGCTTTTTACAACAAAATAAGACGGCTATATTACTGCTGCTTTCTTATTTTCCTACAATCACCACCAGATTATTAAGTTGTACAACACAAGTTTTAACAAACTTCAATTAAATATTAAATATTAAGCATGAAGGAAAAAAATTCTCTGACAGGGTTTAACAAACTACTATTCATATATGAAAAAAGATTCGCTAAATAAAGCCTTCACCCTATTTATTGACCTGGTAATGATAAAATTTACAATGCATAGTAACATACCTTTTCTGGATTGCCTTTTGATGCTTTCTGACCCTGGTGAAAAGCTGGCAAGGAAGTGGCTTTGAGATTATGTTTTATCTTTGCATCCTGTGTCAAAAGAAAACATTGTGAAGAGATGTCACTTTATAGATTTGTATAAAACATCGTAGAGGTCAACTTATGATAATCCATTCTATACAATTATCATTTTTGTCTATCTTTAAAGAATTATGTCTAATGTACTATAAAATATATGCAGACACACTCAAGCAATGGCAAGAGAAGGAAAGTGTACCTTTGATTTCAATTGAAGATGCGTTCTTTCTAGCTCTTTCGCATTAAGTTTTTCTTCTATTTTCTTTGGAAACTGATTAAAACACAAAAAAATTAAAGAGCATATTTTGGTCAGTGAAAATGAAACAGTAGTTTCAAAATCTTGTGAGAAGCCTTGATCACAAGTGCTGGATTGTATAGACATGATACCTCTTTTCCTTTCTCTGCTTTAACATCAGCTTTTAGGCCAAAAGCAGTTTGAGCAGCATTCCCGCTTCTTTTACCCACACTGTCAACCTTTGGTGACCTATTAATAATAACTTCAACAGCATCAGCTTACAGGCAATTGAAGGGAGGATGGGGGCTGACAATCAATGGTCTCACTGAATGACTGTGGATGATGATGATTTTCGTGTTCCTTCCATCATAACCAATTCTCTACCTTCCCCACTAAGAATTTTCCAACCATCATTTAAATTTGTTCCCTATTTTCACTAAATTATTAAAGACTCAGTTTCACTTAAACAGTCTAGTTGAGATAGCTCAGTACAGTGAGTCATGGGACATGCAAGAAGAGTGCATAGGTTTAAAACAATCAATGCAGTCCACAACCCCTTCCTTGTGGAACCTTTAGCAGGATGGTTCTCCTTTCAATCAAACAATTGAAAAAAAAAAAACATATTTTACTTCAAAATTAGACCTATTTAGATTAACTTCTCCATAAGCACTTTCAAAAGAAAATAATAAGGAAAAATGAAATAACATTCTCCATAAGTTAAAATTAATTTATTCATACATTAATTTGTAAAAGTGATCTCTTGTTAGCATCCTCAAAATAAGATTTTTTACTTATTCATAAGCTAGTTTTAATTTTTGGTGAAGTTTTTTTCATTTTCTTTCTTTTTATTTTCATCTCCTAGAAGTGTTTATGGAGAAGGGGCCATGGCTTCATGGTTTGAATTGTTACTTTGTGACCCATGTCACATGTTCGAATCATAGAATCAGTGTCCTACAAGAGCAAGGTAAGACTGCCTAATATACGCTCACATAGTGGGTTCAACTTTTATGATCCACACATGGTGGACATTTTACAGCCACCAGGTTTTGGTGAAAAAAGCCTTTGGTAAGTGTACCACAACCTGGAAAAACGGAATGCTTCTATTATTGGTATTAAAATAATGGAGCATAAGTTAATAACCCAATGATATAGTCATACATAACAGTCTGAAATCGGAAATCGATTGACACACAATGACAAGTAAAAGCACATTACATCAAATCTGGTAGTAGAAGGAAGTTCCAGTTGAATAGCAAACTAGGGCTGTTTTAACAATACTCTCGTGTCTAATTGTATATAAAGCCGGATATTACTGGAAAATTCAAGTTACAAGTAAAGTTTATAATGTAAAATCATGCCTTATTTCAGTTATACAATACAATATACATATGATGATAAACAGTTTATGCTTCCTCATTTACTCACATTTATTTAGTTTCCATGACTAACACTCTTCAACAGAACACCAACAAAATTGTCTCTTATCAGATTATTGTTTTTAAGCATGCAACAATAATGAAAGAAGTTGAAAAACAAAGCTATGAAAACTATATGGAGGAAATGAAATCGATGAAAATAAGAAACACGTTAATAATGTAGATTCAAAAACTTACTGTCCATTTTCCTTTCGCAAAGATATAGATGTTGGATTCCTTGACTCTGTCACCTTTGAAGGAACCTGCTCAAGAAAAATATAGGTTAATATTTTCAAATGAAAGTAATATTTTCTAATGCTACACATAACCATTTATCAACAATAAACAGTTATCCATGTTGTTCCAAACACCTTTTCTTTTACCAAAGATTTGTTTTCACCAGAAGTTTTGGGCTGATTGAAATTATTCTGGAAAGTCTTGAATGCCCGTTTGACTATGTCCTTATCCCCCATTCTCTCCATAATCAAAGATTTCCTCACTGAAGTATGCGGAACAGAATCAGATTGGCTTGGACCCATGCTAAGGGACATGTGCAAAGATTTATTTGTAACTTTTCTGTTCTCTGCAGTGAATGTAGTTTTCCTGCCAGATATAGATGGAGAAATTCCCCTTTTAGTTGAAGATGCGGATGCCAATGTTTTGGTGGGAGTTGATGCAGGCTTTAGGTTTCTAGGGGTGGAAATTTGGGATGCCTTAGTCTTAGATGTAGGTTGCATGGATTTCTTCTTCGCCTTGATTGGATTGCTTTCTCTGCTCGCTGGGGTAACCTGTCCAAAATAGATGGTGTAAAATAGAATAATCGGTAGCGAAATAGCCAAGTTTGTAATGGTGTTGCTAATTATTATTTAACCACTCAATTTTTCCAATGATCATAAATTGTTGAGAATACATGAATTAATGCATACCTTCTTAGATACCTCTGGGTGATCCAATGTCTTATATTTTGCTTCAATTTCTGAAGCCTTTGCAGGCTCATTGTTTACAATGTGTGAAATTTCCTTCAAACCTTCAGCTTCAATGTTAGGACTTTCTTCTTTACTCCCTCCTTGTTCAAGGCAGACAACTTCTTCCTGTTGATCTATCAAGGAACTACCTGACCTTCTCTCCAGTTCTTCATTCACTTTCTCTCCCTCAACTGATGAACCATGATAATCTCCTGAAACTGCCATATCCTCCTCCAAATTACTCATATCAGTCCTAACAATCTCACCGATTGAATTGGTTTCTTGCCTAACCCCTTCACTATAACCTTCAGCATTGGACATATCAAATTCTGCATCAGTCCCACGAGTGTTATAACTCAGATCTTCATCATTTTGACATTGTGATCTAGAAGAATCTTTCTCCATCTGCTTCTCTTGAGCAAGCAATTCAGCTTTCCGAGCAGCAACGTTCTTGTAATGAGCTTCAAAGTAAGCTTTCTTCTGAGCAACTGATCCAGGTGTGGCACACTTCTCAACTTCTTCCAAGTACTTATTTGGTGAGAAAGCAGACCATTTCTCCCAGGACAAGGAATCGTTCTCAAATCTACCAAACGAAACGGACACATGCAAAGCAGGATTGGAAGCTGCTGTCTCCCCCATCTGCTTACACAGCAAGGAGAAAAGGCATAAACAAAAGCCAAAAACAAAAACTGCGTTTATAAATACAAGGTGCCAACATAAGGACAACTTACAATAACACCAAAAGCACAGGTTTTCAACAAAAATAAAAGGAGGAACCAACAAATCAGATAGATTTGAAAGAAAAATAATAATAAAATGAATAAATCTTTAGTCGCGGACAACCAAAAGGATAAATGGGTTTACCTTGCCTTCAAAAATTGGTACAACAGCAACTACTCGGCCATAACCCTATATAAGCCCCAAATACACAGAGGCATGTCCTGAGAAGAAGCAGCAGTGGGGAAAATAATCATTCGGCGGATCTCAGTGGAAATGGCAAAAGTAGTAAAATTAGTCCCAACGGGACAAAAAGAAGACTTAGAAAAATTGCAGGAAATGATGAGTAAAGGCATAGAAGGGACATGTGCATGTGGTGTGAGAGTGAGAGAACACTCATTCTCAGATTCTCTCCTTAACTTCAGCTTCCACCTCACCTTTCCAAAGTCAGGGCATCATGCATCTGCTTTTTGTACTTGTGCTGTTGTGCAAATTCCCAAGTCGTAAATGATAACCCCAATCAAAGAAAGTAACGAAGCAAACAAGACTGAGCTAAGTCCAGGGGTTGTAGATCACACCTGTATCATACTTCAAAAGATCACTTAACTTTTAATGACATTTAAGTACCACTACTTTCCAGTGGAGGCCAAAATGGAGTGGAGCAGAGAGAGTTGGAGCTGATAAAATAATCGAGAAAGAAAAGCACAAAAAGAAAAGAAACGACTTTTCAGCAAAAGAATAGTTTAATGGGGTGAATGAGATTAGCTGGCACAACATATGAAGCTTCCACCAAACATAAAACGAAGTGTCCACACTCCTCCAATCAATGTTTTCATTTTTCCTCTCATTAACTAACTAAACAGACCAATGGACTCAAACAAATGTCGCAGAGAAGAGAGGAAGCAAAGACAAGACGGCGATGATGATGATAACGAGAGTAGATCAACCAATAACCATGACATGAAATGGAAGGCAAGAAAGGAAGGCCCACGTGAGTAAAGAAAGGTTCACAGTGAGCTATGAACCGATTCATGTGTCATGTGACTGTTTCTCTACTAGCTGCATTAATTATCAACCTCACTTCCCCACATGTGGACCCATCACAATTCGTTTCGGTTTTTCAGAGCTACGTCGCTTCCATATAATCAAAATAGATTTAATTCCCGAGTTGAGTTTGAACAATTTTATAAAGTAATCTATCAAATTAGGCCGGGTCGGCCCACTCTTTTAACAACTATGATAGCTTGAGAGTGTGGTTGCAGAGAAATGGGCCCAAGCCCAATAATGCAATTGTCAGTTGAAACAAGACATAGCTAGCATCCACGAGTATGGCTCACTCTCGCTTGGAGGTTTTGGAACTTGCTTGTCTCCTCCACATCCTATGACTCAATCAATAGGCCCCCTCACACATCCATGTCAACTTCAATTAATATTCTCACCCTCCACATACCAATACTCTATAAATATCTATTATTTGGCTTGTTACCTCAAGAAGCATATCTAGATGAAAACCCATTTTGAGCCTCTTCCTCTACTATGCCTCATCCTATACCATAAGCTTGCTAGGTTAAACTACCTATCCTTTGGCTTGTAATCTAAAAGGGTATCTAAAATGATAATCGTTTTTGAGATGTGTCAAACTTTTTTTATCATTTAATTTATTTCTATGTGTTGCTCTCCTACTCAATCTTTTCGATACTCTACTATTGGAATTCAATAGAGTGCATCGAGTTCCATAGATTCACAAGGACAACATGTCTTAAGACTCACTATTTATCCTTGTGAACCCACATTCTTGTGGAATAAATATTTATTGAGTCTCTCAGCTATTATAATTCTTTATTTTATTCCTTATTAGGGACCTTTTCAAATTAACCGGATCTTGAACCGCTTCAAGACTGCTCCATAGGACCCTTGATTCATTGCATGCCACAGACCAAGTGCTCAATAAAGATGGTTGTTTGTAGTTACTAGTTGAACTGGTTTTTTTCTATCATTTTGTTGTTTTTAATAATTTTTTATAGAATTAGGTTAAATTTTTATATATGTTTTATTTTAGACCTAACCCAATTTTATCATATTTTACTTGTATTGGATTGCGTCAAAATATTGAAAACCATTTATTTTTTATTAAAAATTTTATAATTTTCTAATATTTCTTAGAATAACTTTTAAAAAACTAGACTATATATTTATTGGACATAAAATTTAAAAAGGTAATAGATATAAATTAAGTATCAAAACTAAAACAAATTAAAAATAATAAATAACTATAAGTCATAAGTACTTTTTATAATAAAATTTAATATAATTTATGCTGTCGAATTTAAACAATAACAGCATTAATCAATCACAATGCATATATAAAAATTAATTACCTGAAAATTAAATAATTATTAAATATACTTGTTTGTATATTTACAAATTTAATTTCATTCTTTCATATTTTTTTATCATTTTACATTCTTATTTATTGATAATATACTATTTAATTCTTTCAAAGATCAATAGTCAAGATCATTTAGTTGGAATTTTAACATGATTTAGTTGGAAAAAATATATAAAAATAATGAATAGAGAGAATTAAAATTATAAATGTATTGGAATTAAAAAAGAAAGGTAAAAAAAGAAGTAAATTCATATATATAATTTTATCACCATTTATTATAAATTATCATTTTGATTCATAAAAATATATTAACATTATTATGTATATCTTTAAAAAAAATAACTTAAATACTATGATGAACCACTCCTACCTTATATTATTAATAAGTAAGAATCCAAAATATAAATATTTTGAGCCCTTATTTAATATCATTACTACCTTACATCATTACTAATTCAAAAATTTAATATTTTGAGCACTTATTTAAATAATAAATAAGTAAGAAGGGTATATATAACTCTAAAAGTAAGAATATTTAAAATACTTAACTTTAATATTTTGTGATGGTTCAACAGAAAATAATTGTAATGAGATATTTTTTTTCTTAATAACTGAAAATCGACCTGATAAATGCATTCAGGTCATATGATGAATTCTTAAAAGTAAAACCAAATAAAATAAAAATAAATTTATAATTTTTCTCGGTGAAGTTTGACTGAAAATACGAATTGTTAAATTTTGCAAAATAAATTCAATGTTCCCAAACAAATATTTTTTCTTACATGATACATCTAATTCAATATTTTCTTTTTTTATTTCTTTTAATATTTATTGAAATTAAAAATGAATATCATATAAAAAAAATTTACAAACATTTTTATTTTTCCTTAAATGTTTATAAAATGATACTTTATTTTATTTATATTTATTTTTTTATAAGAGTTGAGACAATACTAACAATATTATATATATATATATATATATATATATATATATATATATATATAGATTATTTTTTGGACTATTTTTCACGTATAAGATAATAATATTAAAAGTTATATATTTTTAATATTATAATACATATTTCCTTTTAAGATTTGTAAATAAACTCTTATGGATTGATTATGAGATAACGTATTAATATTATTTTGATTAATTTTTTTATTCACGTGATAATTACCGTATATTTACCACCAATAACAAAAATACTATTTTAATCCCACACAAAATATATACAAGTTAATGTCAAAAATATATTTACAAAACAAATACATGATTAACTAAATAAAAATTCATGAGCACCTTTCCTTCTCCCTGCTTGTTGTCAGTCTAACTACGCCATTAAACATGATTACCTAACTTAGAATAATTATTGATTATGACCAAGTTTAAGTGCAAAAACATAAGGATGATACGTTGTTTAAGGTAAATTTTTCTTAATGAAAAAGCTAATGGTGAAATTTAGATTATTTGTTATTTTTATCAATAATTTAAACAAAATAATATTTACAATTCAATAAAGATAATTGATAACAAAATACTTAAAATGTACAAAAAAGAATATCAAGTGAACTATCTTAACCCTAAGTGTTTTTTTAATAGTTGTTTTCCATTAGATTTAGATCTCTATGTTAGGAGTCCAAAATTTTGTGATTATATCCATCAATATTTTTAAGATTGAAGGGAACACTCAGTCGGTGAAGACATGAATTTAAATTTAAATATTTAACCAAGTTTTAACCGGGGTTCAAGCATATTTAATAAAATATTATTTTTATAATGTTTTAAGTTTATTAGTACTAATATGTTTTAAAAAATAAATAAAAATAATAAAGATTATTATCATGTTATAACGAAAATTATAAATATAAAATATATCAGAGAGTGTAAGATGATTAAATGTCAAAATAAGATAAAAATATGATAAAATAATTATTATTTAAAGTTGACTTAACTAATATGAGATAAAAAAAAATACTAAAATATATTATATTTTTTATAAAAAATTATATTAAAAAAAAGTTGATCTTCAATTTTTTTTTACCAAAATTAGTTTGACCCAAAAATCCCACCAATTTTTCCAATTTTACTAATTTTTTTGGTTTTGTCCCGATTTAATTAAAATCTGATTATTTGGAAGTAACTAACCAGCTTTCTAGTCCGATTCCCAGTTTTCAATATAGTGATGTCCATTCAATAAATTGATTCTCGTTATGTAGGATTTATGATGATAGATTATAATTTTAGATTATATTTTCATAATCATACCTCTAAGGGAAAAGATTGCGTCATGATTGAACATTTGGATTGGTCACACAACAGAATAATTTATTTGGACACCAAACAACTCTTATTGGGTATCAAAGGCGAAAAAAAATCTTCACCTGCGGAACACACAGAAGAGAAACAAAAAATAGAGAATATTCATTAACACACTCAACCACTTTTCATTTCTCAACTTGCAATTTTTCCAAGGATAAATTTGCAAACCCTCTCGTACAATTTTTACAAACAAAATTGCAAACTCTCTCTTAACACACAACTACCCAAGTCCCCAATACACCCAAAACCTAGTATTGTTACGGTGAGTATACACAAACTATCACCCCTTATTTATATTAGAAGTCTACCACTCTCCTTCTTCAAACTACCTGATGTGAAATTTTGGAGGATATGATAATAACATTTCGGTCGCACAAAATACTGATAAAAAATAATAAACAAGTTGCTAAACTAATGCAGTATAGTTAACCTGTGTCGAATCTTACAAGGACACAATTATAGGAATGTACTCATTATCATATATCACTCTTTCTAAAGTCTGTAAATAAAGTATGAATGAAAAAGTGAAAGAGAAATAAATTGATG